GACAAATTCTCCATTGATGAATTGTATGAATATTTACTTCGAATTGACCCAAACTTGAAATCATTAGCAGAAAAACTGAGAAATGCACGTGTCGCTGGTGCTGATTTGGTTAATTTTAATGACGACGATTACAATAATTGTTCTATTACATATGAAGAAAAGAAAAAGCTTCAGCTTCTAGTCGAACGAAAGCAACCCAAGTCAAATTCTCAATCGATTGTATTGACATCTAGCGTACCTGACTCAGCACAGATGCAAAGTGAAATAACACATTTAAAAGAAATCATACAAAAACAAGAACAAGAAATTCGAGAGAAAACTAGTTCTATTCAGCAACTTGAAGATATCGTCGAAAAACAAGAGCAACAAACACGGTTGCAAGATGCAATAATAAAGCAGTTACAAGAGGCACTTGAAAAGCAAAGTGAAGAAATGCGGGTGTTGATAGAGTTGGCACAGGAACATCGTTCTCTTGTCCTATCTTCAAGTGATTCCTCTGCTAAATAATCATCTGTTGTCCATGTGCAATTTATGGATACATTGAACAAGTAGTGCATGTTTGTGGACTTGTCCGATTCTCTCTCATATAAATAATACTTCCTAGACCTAAAAAAAATCACTTATGCACTAAGTTTCATTCATCTTAGCTTGCACAGAACAAGATAATACCCTGCATCTTATGCTCTCGCACATATTCACTCGGAAGAAGGTCATTGAAAGAAAAGCGAAAAGCTATCTTGAGAGTGTGAATGTTTCTCTCTGTAAACTAGCCCCAACGTCACCCTCATCTTCATTTCTATACTACTTACTTGTGAAAATAAAGTTCGAATAAACCCTTTTGATACTTGTAATTTTTTCGAAGCGGTTACTCGGGTTAGTATTTATGATGGACAAAAAAATTAAAATAAATGTTAATTAGTTTTCAAATGTCCAGGATATTCAATCAGAATCTGAGAATACAGACATTTCATTCATGTTTCCATCTCCGTCGACACTGAAAAAGTTTGTAATCGCATAATTTAAATGCGCATGCATCACATCCGTTGATGAATATTCGGGTAGATCCAAAGCAAAAATGCATGTATGTACTCCTACAATAAAAAAAATGAAATCAATACCAAAAATTATGAACTGTGTGACGTAAAAAATACTAAAATAATATATTAACCCTTTGGGGACGGGATTTTTTGGAAAAATAAAATTTCTGTTTTTCTGTGTATTTCATCATGAATCAATCTGGATTTCTATTTTATAAAAAAATTTTTATTAAAACGCATCTTTAGAAATTTTTCAAAGTGTGATACAGTTCAAAACAAGGTACAACGTATAAGCCAACATTACATTGAACACACTCATATTCTTTTTTAGTATTTGTTTTTTGGATCTATTGTTCTACTATAGCAAACATGGCACCTTCGCTTATTTATGCGTTCAGATGTACCTTCAGCTGTATAGCCTTGAATTAGTGAAGGAAAGTGCCGTGCAGTAGGTCTCATTGAGTTTTCCAATGATGATCTTCCCTTTTCACTCTTTTGACTTCCAATAGATTTGACAATCGATCGAATCACGTCTAATTGAAAGCCCGACAGATGTGTTGTTTTTCGGGTCTTGGGCTTGTATAAAATGAACACATTATATAAAGTGATATCAACCAGATGAAAAAGAACTTTTCATAACACTTTATATTTTTTTGTATGCATTCTGAAAAACTGATCTACATATCCTATTTGTCTATAGTCCCCATGTTTTCATTATAATGTTTGATACAAATTGGCTTCACGATAGGATTTTGAATAATATGATCAATTTTGCCCATAGATCCCATGGTTGGGTCGTGAATAGTTGAAAACATATAAATATCACGTCGATCTTTCTATTTCAATGCGAGAAGTACATCTGTATGTCTATATACTTGCTGGTATTGTCCCAATTTGATTGTTTGTAAACTACAGTCAACGAAAAAAGTTCTGGGACACGTAAAACAATGCAAACCTTCCTCCAAGTCAATTTCGGTCAAGGTACATGGAAGTTCCATGAAATTTTGAGAATATGTTGAGCCTGTGGTAGAGAAGCTATGGTAAAATTTTCAGCCCTCTATCATGAGGTTTGACAGAGATATGCACAAAACAAGGGCCAAATAAAGCTTATTTGGCAAGCCCATTTTTCTCTTTTCAGTCTCTTTTAATATATTAAATTTTGTTTTTGTTTGAAAGAGCATGTCAGGATGCAGAGTATGACAGAGTTCTTTTTCAAGTTCTTATTTTTTTTAAGCGAAGAAAACTATGACAAGCTCAATAACTCATGAAACCTCAAAAAAAGTTTTGAAAAAATGCTAGGTTTTTCAGAGTTTTTGAAAGAATTTTGAGTTATTGAGCTTGTCATCGTTTTCTTCGCTTAAAAAAAATAAGAACTTGAAAAAGAACTCTGTCATACTCTGCATCCTGACATGCTCTTTCAAACAAAAAAAAATTTTAATATATTAAAAGAGACTGGAAAGAGAAAAATGGGCTTGCCAAATAAGCTTTATTTGGCCCTTGTTTTGTGCTTATCTCTGTCAAACCTCATGATAGAGCGCTGAAAATTTTACCATAGCTTCTCTACCACAGGCCCAACATATTCTCAAAATTTCATGGAATTTGCATGTACCTTGACCAAAATTGATTTGGAGGAAGATTTGCATTGTTTTACGTGGCCCAGAACTTTTTTCGTTGACTGTAATTACATCAATTATTTAGTTTTGTTATTTACTTGCTATGTACTGTATATTTGATGTTGCTTTTAATGGTTCACCAAATAGTCGAACTAAAACAGCAAGTATCATACCAATTGAATTTGCTACTTCATGGGATTTACGAGTACAATTTTATCCATTAACAATAATAATTGTATTACCAACATTACCATTTGTATATCTCTTTACAAAAATACTCAAAAGTAATCTACTTGTGCGTATACATATTGTCATTGCTTATTAATTATGATTTAGATCTTCCTTTTTATCATCTATTTTCTATAGTGTAGATTATCAGTATTGTTTATATTAATTGTTCTTCACTTGGTTAGCATAATTGTACCAATAGTGATGTCAATTGTTAATCATAAACTTGTTGAAAAGGTGATTTATTGGTTATTAAATATTATATCACCAACGATAAATGCACAAGCTATTGTAACATACATACTAGCACAAAAAAGTAAATTTTGTCAAATCCTTATTAATAGTGATGTTACATTTTTTAAATCCATTGGTAATGATACTATTGCATGAAATTGGGTAGTTCTTATTTTACATATTATTATTTTCAAGGGGGAAAAAGCGGATCCCGGGATCCAGTGGGATCCAGTGGGATCTAGTGGGATCCAGCGGGATCCAGTGGGATCCAGCGGGATCCAGTGGGATCCAG